TTTTTATGTACTCAATATGCTTGAGTGACTGGAATTGCTGATGTTATATCAGCTCTAACTGTTTGCCTTTAACAGTGATTATCCACAATAAACAGCGTTTTTTGAAAGCATTTGGGTGCCGCATGATGGTGTTATTACCGCAGATATCTTTTTCTTGAATATTATTAAGAGGCACGATCAAAGTAGGCATTGTGAAGCGGGAAATATCATTGTTGTGCAGAAATTCCAGTCTGCCATTGCTACAACCAGTCCCTCTGCGATTCGTTCATTCGTTTCGATGGTAAATTGGTGCTGGTGTTTGTCAGGAGTCGAATCCGCCACCAGCTTGTCTGTAAGCAACTCTTGGAAAAGGAAGCCATCGTCAGCCTTATCAGCAGTAGATTGTTACTTTGCGCAAGGGTTACTTTCGAATGCCTTCGCTTCGCATAGAAAACGTGTACGAAGGGGATTTTGAGTTGCGTATAGTGCAGAAAAAAGCAGGAAACTTATTTTTGGCACAAATTACGAATTCGTGAGATTCATAGATTCACGAAATCTAAAAAAACAATCATTTACAGTAGGATAACGCTGAATTTTGCTTCGCTTATTGGTTAGATTCCCACAGAATGGTACGACAACAGGTGCTGGTCTGTGGTGACGTAAATGGTCAGTTCAAAGCGCTGGTGAAACGAGTCAGTGAAGTCAACGATAAGGTATCAGGGTTACTTCCAACAAATTTTTTTTATTTTTCTTTAAATCGGATTAAATTTTAAGCTTTTTTTAACAACAAAACTTTTTGAACTGTTTGGAGTATTGTAACCCTATAATTGCACGTATTCCTCTCCTCCCATTAATTCTTAACACTTCGACTTCGCTCCATTTACTAATGTCTAACAATTCCACCAAATTCTAAACGATTCCATATTATCTACCTTCTCATTCACTAAATAACTTGTCCTCCTTTTCCCTCCATTAATTTCCCCTATATAAACCCCTTCCTAAAACCCAGGCCCTCAGTTTTGGAAATCAGCTCGACCAACAGCGCCATTGTTCCACTACGTCCTGCCTCGACTAACGCTACTAGCATCTCGCCTCAACACCACCAGTGTCCTTCTTCTGCTGAACAGCTTGTGCAGCGCCGCGGCTCGTCGTTTTGTCGTTTTGTTTGAAGCGAAGTTTTTGTTGGAGAAATAAAATGCTGTTATTCTTCCCTATCTTGCGCTGCTGCAGTCAGGGACCACGTGAGGGCCTAACAGTATTAAAGGATGTTTTTAATTTATAGTTTATAATAAGAATTTGATTTCCGGGGGTTTTTTTTTTTTAGCATGGACCATTTGTGATGCTATTTTGTGTTGGCGAATTTTTTGGCACTGATGATGAAACGAATCGAAAAATTATCAGCGGAGATATCACAATGCCTTTGCCTACATATATCTTAGGTATGTATCACTTATGTAATTAGTTTAACGTCTCATTTTCAAAAAAAGTACTTATCGTTGTTAGGATTAGCAAAATTCGGGACAAGATAGCGCCACTCAACGTACATCAGGGAAAAAAATTTCGAAACTTCTTAACCTTTTTGAAGTACTTTTGTCGAAAAGACAATTAAGCTGTAGTTCTTTTTAGGAAATTTTAGAAAATTGGGCCAGTTATCCGGCAGTGTAGTATGAGTCAGAGTATCTGGAAAAATTTATAACTTCATTAATGGGAAGGCAAAACTATAAATTACAAGCTTTTTCAAGTTTTTCAATTTTTTTTTTTTTTTTGT